GACACAAGCGGGCTCAGAGCGCAGGTCCCAGCTGTGCTGGAAGGCAGCCCCATCCCCTGAGGTCCTCCTTAAGCATCACCACAGAGTTTCAAAGCACAGAAAATATGTTTTTATGTACATTAGCTGAGTGCTGCACATACCAGACCAAGCCAAAGGTGAATATCCCCCACAGGTTATGAGATCTGCCTGCTCAGGGAAGCTCCTGCTTCATCTGCAGCTGCTAGGAAGACACTGCCATTATGCTCAGACAGGCAGAAAGGTCACAGAGGTGGGAAGGCTTAAAAAAAACAACCTGTAAATGCCAGCTGGCTTCCCTCCTCCCTCTGCACTCATGGCTGAGCTGCCTGGCTCCTCCACTGCTCCCTCCTGAAGGAGCCAGGCTTAGCACCATTCCTCATCCTGCCGCTGCTCTCATTAGCGGGGCAGAGAGCAACACCAGAGTTCATTAATAAGGCCCAGCAAGTGCTTTGCCTGTCCAAGACCGATGCCATAAAAGAAAAGCCAAGCAAAGCACGACGATGCCTTAACCAGGATGCTGCATGCACCGCGAGCACGGTGGTGCTCAGCACCACTGACTGCACCGAGGGTGGCCAGGGGCTGCAGAACCCAAGGAAGCCAAGGGAGAGGTTTTTGTGCCTTGCTCATCCTCCCCTTGTTTTCCACTCTCCCTCCCCCAAACCTTTGCTCTCTTCTGTGTCACGCCAGGTCTTCCCATCAGGTGAAGTCACCCCGCTGTTACCGGATTACTCCATCCTGTGGTTAACCCCACTGCTCCCCGTCAGCAGGGCTCATGCAGGGACCCCTCCTGTGCCACCAGCAGCTGGCACGATGACAAGGGACACCAGGGCACCAGTCACGACGTGAGACCCTTTTGGGGGTCACTTTGTGTTTCCCAAAGAAGGCTGGTCTGCCTCAGCCAGGGGGGTTTGAATGCTGAACCGCCGCGATACGCAGAGATTAAATTCTCATTTCCAACCCTCCTGGGACAAGCGATGGCAAAAGTACGGTATGATAAGTTGGAGATGGACTCTCCTGTGCTTTTAGGGCAATTAGCAGGAAAAAAAAATGCAGTAAATAACTGCAGTATTTCTAATGCTACAGGATACACATGGGGACAAGCTGCACTCCACCCCAGCAGAGCTGTTCTTAGCATCTGCCACGCACAGGCAGCACTTAGCGTCTGCCCTGGGAGAGGGATTGCTTTCTGCCTGCCACCACCACCAGCGTGGGGATGGGCAGGGATGGCCAGGAGCTGTGCGAGGAGGGCAGTGAGGACAGCAGCCTCCTGTGGGCCTGCTCATGGAAAAGCGTGGCACACTTTTCCCAGCACGGAGCCTCAGGCCATGCAGGGAAGAGCAGAGATGCTTGGAAATCGCCTGCTTTCTACTGCAAAGGTGGAGTGACTTGCAACACAGCCAGCCCTCAGGGCATCAGGCAGTGTCCCAGCCTGGTTTTGGCAGCATTTGCTCCGTAAGCTGGCCAGCACCGAGCTGGGGCAGCCCCGGAACCGACGGGGAAAGGCAGTCCCCTCGACACGACAGCCACCCACAGATCCCAAAGGTCTCCAGCTCGCAAAATCCCTGCCCTTCTGCAGCAGCCTGCTGTGCACACACACACAGGGATGGGATTTTAATGAAGGGGAGACCACACAGTTCCTCCCACCAGCGGCGGATTCGCACTGGAGGCTCAGAAGGGGCCATTGTTGTGGGAGTCACAACTGCTGCTATCGCTCGCCCACAAACTCCCAACAGCAGCAGAGGATTTTCATCCACAAACATTCGTTCTCTCTCTGTTTTCAAAAGGAAGGGCACATTATTCATGTGCCAGGCTTCCCCCTGTAGAAACTCCCTTCTTGTTTTTTTTTTTTTAATTTGTGTTTCACAAAGGCTTTGCAGAGAAATGCAGACACTACAAGCAACTATGAACAATCAGCAGCCAGCATTCCTCCAGAACAGAAATGTTTTGTGCCCCTGATGAAATGAGGAGTGGGATGTTAAAAGATCATTCCTACCAACAATTAAAAGCTGCTTAACCTCCATAAGTTCATCACAAAATCTAAACACACGTCTCTTCTGCTCTAACAAAGAACTCCTGCTGTGCCAGAGCAGGTAGATCTTCGCCCAAATGGGATTTTCAAGCAGATTTCTAACACATCCGAAGGTTTTACAAGAGCAAGGAGGAGCTCAGGCTGACTCCTGGGTGTAGAGGAGGATCCTGGAGCGCCCGTTTCAGACTAACATTGCCTCTCACATGAACTCCCCCCTTGCTGCAGACACTCACCCTTTGAGCACTGTCTGGAAAAAAAGAGGGAAAATGCAGGCCTTCGTTCTACAAAGGCTCAGCTTCTGACAAAATATTTCGGATGGTAAAATATTTGGGATGCTTTTCCCAGCCGTTTCAATGAGAAGAGTCACCTGGCCCCTAACTGGTGCTGAACTCTCCCAAGGAAGAAAATGACAGTGGTAGGAAAAGCTAGGAATTTACTGACCCTAAAGAAAAATTCCCAAGCAGTTTTGAGACCGAAGCTCAACGGGAAGCATTCCTCATTGGCGAGAGGCCTTTTACTGGCGTGTTCCCACATCCCCTTTAACACCCTGGGAAACAAAGCAAACGGGGCACGGCTGGAGGGGGGCACCTGGCTGGAGGAGAGCCAGGAGGGGAGCCCTCGGTGCTACAAACAGGAGCTGGGAGCTCTGCCTCCTCGGGGGCAAAATACCTCCAGATTATTGCAATACTGGCGCTGAAAAAGAAGGGAGCAAAGCACATTTCCAGCTGCCTCCAGAAGGCAAAATGAGGCTTGGAGAGGGGCTCTAAGCCAGCTCCAGGAGGCTGACCGTCCACCCTGAGCTACCAGACATCCTCCCCAGGCTGTTGCTGTGTCCTTGGGTGCTGCAAAACCACATCCCCCAGGGCCAGGGGGGTTCCCCAGGTGCTGCTGCCACCATGGATGTGGAGTGAGAGGAAACCACCGCTGCATTTTCAGCCCTGCTCAGGCTGGGAAAAACAAAGGAAACAAATGCTACATTCTGTCTTATCGTGCATCGCCCCATAATTTGCATGAAACATGAAAAAATGTTTATTATTCAAGGCCTTTTATGCCCCAGCTGAAGCAGGGCACAGACAGCAATGCCAGCAGTGCCAAACACCTGCCTGCTGCATTGCCCCACGCACACCAACACTCACAGAGGGACAGAAGATGCCAGCCAGTGTCAGAGCCTTTTATGATTAAACAGATCCTCCATCTCAGAGATTTACAACCCATCCCAGTCAACTGTCCTAGCTCGTCCCAAGAGAAAAATGATGGATATTGAGTCATAACAGAGGCAGAACCAGAGAAAACTGCCCAAGTGGTGAAACCACGAGGAAAATACACGAGGTGGGTGCGTTGGCACTGGGATGGGCACTGAGGTTCTGCACCAGCAGGGCATCAAGGGGGGCCTGGATCAGTCCCTTAAGGCAGCAAAACATAAAAAGAGGCTTAAGCTTGAAGAGAATGAAGAAAATAGGCAACATATTCGAGTGCTAAATCCATATTTAAGGTCCTGAGGATGTGACTTTTATATATGCAGAGATCCCAGTGGGTCGCAGCGTGCTTGTACCACGTTCCTCAACTGCTGCAGCTCCCTTTCCACTCACTGACCTTCTCCTTCCTACCGCAGTTATCTCAAGCACCCCACAGCTGTTGTGGTAGCACCACAAATTAGTAGAAACAAGGCTATTCCTCGAGTGAACCGAGAGCGATGCCATTTTTTCCACGGAGTGACATTTCAGAGCAAGGCATAATGAAGCCGGAGCGTGTTCGAGCACTGACTGCGCTGCTTGTTGGGCGGAGATGAAAGGAGTCTCTGTTTAAACTGGAATTTAGCCCAATGAGATAGAGTGGTGAGACAATAAAGGGGCTTTTGGACTGAATTGGAGAGACATTGGCAGAAACCACACACGAGAGGTGGCTGCGGCTTCGGGATGGGGGAAATGTAGCAGAGAACATCACAGCAGCAGAGATGCAAGAGATTACAAGAAAATTGACTGATGTGACATCCCATCACAGCAAAACACCCAACTAGAAGTTGAGAAGTACTGAGCAACCATGCCTGCTTCTTGCATATGCAGGATGGTGTCAATGAGGAGGTAACAACATCTCTGTGTTGCTCAGATATGAGGGTCTCTACGAACAACAGGGCTCAAGGGATAATGAGCCAGATCTCCAGGAGATATTGTCCTAATCCTGCTTGCTCCCCCTCGTCCTTTAGTCCCTGATGTCTGTTTCCCTCCCCTCTTTTTCTGTAATCTTTTGTCAGACTGAGTTTTTTTCATGGGATTAGTCTCTTCTTGTGGCTACAGGTAACATCTGCTACACCAGGAACCAACACTCTCTCGGGACCATCAGCAAACACCTGGATACAAATCCTAGCCCTGCCAGATTGCAGCTTCTTTCGCACTTCTCACTTCTTTAAAAATACAAACCACCACAATTACATACGTAAGGCATTGTATTACCAAAAACACGGAGCCCTTTCCATTCCCGACAGCCTCATTCAGAGGTTTTTGGTACCATGGACCAGGACATTGGTGGCCAGGATGCTTTGCTGAGGACCTGGGTGAGAAGGGCATGGGGTTATTTATTCCCCTTTTTTTAATCAAACAGTTCCCATCGTGCAAACATGCAAGCCCTGGCATACACGGTGACATGTGCCTGCACTGTGACAGGTGTCTGTATGTTAATTACCAGCTAATTAGGATATCTTGGAGCATTTTGTCTCCAGCACCCAGCATGGGGCTGTTGGAGCATGGCTGGCTCCTCTTTCCCAGCCTGGTCCCCATCCCTGGGCACCACCACGCTGTTCTCCTGCAGAACAAGGCTGTAATGGGGAAAGAAAAGTGGTAACGGGGCAGAATACCTCTGGGTGAGCACAATGAAATCTGGTAACATGGCCACGTGTCGGGGAAAAGAAGCAGGGATAGGACAGGGACCATTGGGGTGGCTCGGAAAGCCGACTCACCAGGACTGCGGCTTCCTCTTCATGATGCCTTGTCGTCTCCACTGAGAGTGGGGGCTGAGGTGGTAGGTGAGCTGCCGGCAGAGCTTCTCCATGGCCCCAAGGGAGTCCCCCTCCTGCAGAGACAAGGTAGGGACGCCAGGTAAGGTGGCTGCAGCGTGACTGTCCTGCCCCCAGGATGCTCCAACCCCGGAGCCGCTAGAAGCTGGCAAGTCGCAAGGCACTATGCTAAAAATTGGACAGGAAGGAGGAAAAAAAAACCCTACTGATTGCTAGGCTGATGCAAGGATGGAGGCATTTTGCCAAGGGTCAGCACACACACAGACATTGCTCATGGGTGGGATTCCTCCTCTGCAAATCCACCTCTGAATGAAAGCAAGGCCGGAGACCAGCAGCCCACTGCCCTGGTGGAAACTATGACCAAAACTCCCAAGTGTTATCCATCACATATGTGAGCACTTTTTGTATTTATGGGGTCTATCCCCAGCATGACCCACCAGGAAGGTTTGTCCCGTGAGCGCCCACGATGCCACAGTCACTGCAGTTCGTTCAGCAGAAGCGCCGTTATCGCCTGACACCACCTAATGGCTTTCGGCACACAAATTGTACAGAGATTGATTAAATAAACCAAACGACCCATCCGTTACTGTCAGAACCGTTTCACACAAGGACAGACGCTAAGAGGTTTGGTGAGCCTGGAGATCTCAGGAAGAGCGCTCATCAGAAACGCTCAAAGTGGGTATTTGATAGGAAAAAAAAGCATCAAGGAAAGCAGCAATTTTGGTGGAGTCCCCTTAATTCCAGGTAAAATTTCCATGCGAAAGGATAGCAAAATGAGAAATCATTGGTTTCGAAAACTTCAATTCTTAAACTTCCTGAATCTGGTCCTATAATTTTTAGTTCCTAAAAATAAACCAAAATACAAATGCCAGCACCTGAACAGCTAAATCATGTCTCCTTTCAAGCTCTCTACATACCAACACATGATACGACTCTTAATGATGCAAAATGTCTGGCTTGCTCCCTGAGAGATGACAAGCAGAGATTAAGCAAAGGAATAATTATACAACAAGCCAAGATGTGACAATTGGTGTATTCTGCCTGGTTTTATGAAATTGCTGCATCATGAAACATCTCAGAAAAGAAACAGAAGCTGGAAAGGAAGCCCCCAAATTAGCAGTCAGCCCGGGCTTGGCTCACCACTGCTCTTTATTCAGGCTGATTGCCCAAGATTTTGGACAAGCTGGACAGGGATGCTGATGAAGATGCTGTGTCTCATCTGCCAGGATGCCCTATTACTGCTGCCCTCCCGTCCTCTCCCTCCAGCCTCAGCAACGAGCTGCGTATTTCGCGCAGCGTAATTTATGCAATGTATTCTCCCACCTCACCTCGCAGTCAGCAGAGCAGGACGGGCTTTATAAAGACATTATAAATATTAAATTAACCAAGGAGCAATCTGGTTTTTGACAAATCACCTCTGGGTGTGCAGGGAAACAAATGCATCAGGTTTTCTTAAGGAAGGAAAAAAAAAAAAAGCAGGGCAGAAGGGGCACATCAGCAGATGGCTGGAGCAGAAATAGCAGCATAGGGCTTTAACCCCTTCATTTCAGCACCTAATTTATCACCAGGACTTTAAATAAGGGTTTTAATCCTACAAATTCTGGTGCGGCTTCAGCCTACACTCCCCCCCAGCAAGCTGAAAGCTCTCCTGGAGGCCCTGCAGCAACAAATAGCTACAGCTCCAGACTCAGAGATGGGGGAACTCAACAGGCTCAGCACGTCAAATTAGCAGAGAAAAAGAAACAACAGAGAATAATTTATTTCATGTTTTCCACTAGAAGGGCTGAAAACACATTACAGTCATTTTTTAATCAAGGACTCCAAACATTGGGGGCAGACAGCGGCACGTGCTGCTCCCCTCTGCCAGCACAACCAGCAGCCCCAGCACGAGAGGAAAACGCTGTGGATTTCCACACCTACCCCATGTTTCAGCTCCTGCCATTTATCTTTGGGTCCGTGAGTTGTTTGCTGCCTTTCAGTTAAAGGGAAGCAAACACATTTTGCATAAAACAGAGGGGAGAGAAGCCAGAGGGAAACTCTTTAGAGAGGCTACAAATCAGGCACAGCTGGTGGGGACGCTGCGTGCCAGGCAGGGCTCCTCAGCGATGCTCTCCCCGTGCCAGTGCTGTTTGTGCTCCATCCTCTTGGAGGGCTCCCTGCACACCAGCATCACCACCTCCAGGTCCCAATTTCAGCAGAGTTGTCTGCACAGTCACAGCACGTGCCCTGCTCCCTGCTGCGGTACAGACCCCATCACCGAGACTCCCACCTTGAGCAAAAGGGGCTGCGGTGCCCCAGCTTTGAGATAATGGTGCCCAGATCCATGCTGCTCAGGCTCAGCTGGGCTTTCCCCTGCTGCACCGCATGGGATGGTGCTTGTTCTGAAGGGAACAGCACGCCAAAATGTGTAAAGAAAAAAAAATTAAAAAAAAAATCTGGAGGAAGCGGGCACTGTGCTGAGACTCAGCGCTGCAAATTGCCTCTGCCGTAATCCTGGAAATGACAATTAAAATTATCTCCTGTATTAGCCTGACAACTAAATTGTTGGGGAAGTGAAACGACTCCGCAGAGGAATATGGCCAAAAAAAAAAAAAAAAAAGCAGAGGAAGTAAGAGCCCCAGAAGCTTGTGCTGATGCACACATGGCAGGAGGCTCCCTGGGAGCCCTCCAGGCTCTGGTAGGAGATTTTGCCCCAAGCAGCTGCTGAGCCTCTCGAGTGCTGTGTCCAGGTCCCTGCTGGAGGCTCAGATCTCAGCTTCCCATCGCAGACACCTTCTGAGAAATTAAGCACAAGGAAATCCCCTCATGGGCACCCAGCAAACCACCAGCACCCCTGCAGGACCTTGAGGGGCTCCAAGAAAAGATGTTAGAACAGGACGAGGCAGCTTCTGAGTCCCATCTCCCTGCTTCAGCAGCCTCGGCCAGCTCATCATTCACTAGCAAGCTCAACTCACAAGTCCTGTGGGTACAGGGCTCTGTGTTTTGGGGTTTTAAAAAGCTATTTAGACAGCACCACTTCTGGGCACAGCAACTCATGCCCCTCTGGTCGTGGCACCACGCAAGGGAATGACAGGAGGGGCTTCTCCACACCGCCCTGCAGCAGGCTGGAGATAAATGCTCCAGTTTAGCTCTAGGATGGATGCTCAGCACATCTCAGGGGCTGCTCACTTGGTTGGACCTGCCCGAAGCCTCCAGGACCCCAGACCACCAGCAGCACTCGTGGGGCAGCGCTATTTTGGGGCTGGAAAAGGCTGCAGGAAGCCTCTTTTTGAGGAAGTTCCTAAACCTCCAGCACCTCCAAGACCCAAGCGGCAGCAATTCCCCCAAGAACTCAGTGGGGAAGGTCACAGGCCAACCCTACAACAGCTTTCCCAAGCCAGCAGCACCACGATACAGCAAAATGGGCTCCCCAAAAGCACCCTCAGGCCTGAACCATGTCCAAGAGCCACCCTGGGCTTCCCAAAACCTGCTTGCAGACGCAGCTGAAACGGTGCCAAAGGCAGAGCTGGACGCCCGTGCTATGGTTTAAACAAAGGCTTTTCCCTGGTTTATTGGACAAGCCCATCAGGAAATAATTGAAGCTCGCACACGCTCCCGTGGGACCAAGCCCAAAAGCTTGTTTGGAAACCGATGCAGCAGAAAAACCAGCGCGGCTCGCTTGCCTGGAGGAAGTTTTAACCTCACTTCCCTCAAAATGAGAAAGGCAGCAGCCAGACGGGCTTCCTGCCCCCCCGCAGCCATCGGCTCAACCTAGGGCTGGCTTTTTTGGGGGCAGAGGGCACAGGCGGCAAGGAGGATTTATCTCAACCTGCAAAAACTGAAAGCTGCAGCGCTGGGTTTTGGCAAACACTCCGTAAAACAATTTTCCTTGTAAACAATGAAAAGTGCCATTTTTTAACTGAGCACGTTGTCTACAAACAGAATCAAACTGTGGGGTTGATCGCTGCCCTGAAATGACACGGAGGGATGAACCTCCAGCAAAACCTGGCAGTGATGCCAATGCCGTGGTGCTTTGTGTCCGCAGAGGACCCGGCCCCTTCTAGCGCCAGGGCATTTGTGGAAAATGGGAACTGTGAATTTGTTGCTCTGGTTTCCAGCCTCTGGGAGGAAAACCCCAGGGCATCTGTGGGTTGGGGAGGTGCAGCCCAGCAGGCAGAGCTCCTCAGCTTTCCCAGCTGCTGCTGCTGGAAGAGGCCTGGGGGCTTCCTCCTGGCACCACACACACAGGACAGTGCACGGAGCATGCAGGGAGCCGCGTGGCACCCGCTCCCCTACTCATTTATCTCGGGAAGCTGGGAGGCATTTAGGAGAAGCCGTGCCTCGCACCTTTATGCAGTGCCCCAGCTCCCAGCAAGGCTCGTGGAGCTCACGAGCAAACCCAGGCAGTGCAAGCATCAGCTGCCATCAGCAGCAGCTGCAGTTTTGGGGCAATGTCTCGGTTCCTTCTCCTCCACCGTGTCCTGGCTGAGCTGGCAGAGACCCAGCGCAGTTCCCAGCCGTGGAGGACACGATGCTGAGCATGGGATGGAGGAGGGATGAGGGGAGAGCTGAGAGCAGAGGCTTTCCCTGCACAGGGCCCCTCTCCCTGCCGTTCCTCCTCCATCCTCGCCTGCCTCCAGCCCCTGGAGGAGGAGGAGAAGGCTGCTTGCTGCCGGGAGGAGCCGGAGATTCAGTGAGATTGCAATCCCTTAACCGATTTCAGCTGGGAGAAGGATTCGTGGCACACACCCCAGCTGCGAGCTGCCGCCAGCCCCGCGCCCACAACTGGAAAACGAGGAGGGGGCAGGAGCTGAGCTGGCTCCTGCAGGGGTCCCACTTTGTCCCCACGCAGGGCTCACCCATGGCATGGGCAAGGAACAGCCCTGAGCGTGCAGGGCACTGCTCCTTGTCCATGCACTGCACTGCACTGAGTCAGCCCATCTATCTATCCATCTATCTATCCATCCATCCATCCATCCATCCATCCATCCATCCATCCCCATACGCAGCCCCACGAACCCCCAGGGGCTGCAGCCCACGCTGCTCCCCCCTACCCGTGCCACAAAAGTCAAGCTCC